CATGCTCGGATAATCTTTATTAATAAAGTACGTCTCTTTACAGAGTCCAATGCACAGTTAATTTCACCACCGGAAGAGACACAGTCCATCGAAAATTAACCTGCGGTTGAACATAATATTCGCAAATACACGCTATATACACGAAAAATCCGAAAATGTAATTTGTTTCTTGCGCCAGCTTTAGCATTTTGCGACCATCATAAGGGACTTGCTAGCACGTATTCAAGACTCAAACATTTTTGCCTGTCCCAGCACACTAATGAGAGCGGCGCAGATAAGTGAAAATGATGCAGTGGGCCGTGAGACTCTGTTTTGGCGGGAAAAGAAATTATTGGTGTCACCAGTTCCAATAATTTTGCATTGGCGTTTCGGTAACTCTCCTAAAATTTATTTTTAAAAAAATAGCTAAGCCGTAAGTTCCCGCCTTGCCGAAATTTTTTGCTCTCGGATCCAGGCAAAATCGATAGTGGACAACCCTATGACTCACCCGCCCCAAACTGCTTCTCTGGCTCTCCCGCATTTTTCGTGGCTGACCAATTGTCCTTTTTCGAAACCGTTTCAGTTTGCTTCTTACTGTAGATAAATTTATTCTATTTTCAAATCCTTGATTCATTTATCGATACTTTCTTGCAATAAAAATTATGCAAAAAATTCCAGGCCCTGACACGCCTTCATGGATTTCACAAATTTGCCTATCAACTTCCACCGACGTCTGCTGGATTTTGTCGGCAGTGCCGATCCAAAGACGCGATTCCGGTTCGCCAGAACATGCCGATTTTTGTGGAAGATGACCGAGGCTTCTTCAGATAATCGATACAGATACAAGAGAGTTGAGTTTGAACAAAATAGGACCGACATTTTCGAGCCGGACAATGACAAAAATTGGGTACACTTCAATACAAGCGTACCAGAAACCTATTGCTTTCCGGCACCACCGTCAACGACCTCATAATTCGGGAGCTTGAAGTCGATGAAATTCCGAACGGATTGAAAACTTACGTGTTGGCTGTTCATCGTCCATATGAAGATGAGGACAAAATAAAGCTACTCGAGAAGCTGAAGCCGAAGACCCAGAAATTTCAACATGTCTGGTTTTGCTGGAGTCGCCAAATCACGCTGGATCTAATTCACTACGCAAACGAGAACATACGCTCGCTAGTACTGTCGAACTTTTTCGATCCAATACTGGCGCTCGAGTTGAAGTGCCCCATATTTGTCGTGACGGTCAACTGGGATCAAAATGAAAAAATACAACCCTTTATCGATGCTCTAGTCGCCCAGTGGAAGAGTGGAGCACGAGATTTTGAAGAGATACGGATAGAAGGGAATACTGGTCATGCACGACTCGAGGAGCACGTCCGGAAAGATGGGCAGCGAATTCACATCGTTTATCGGACTAGAACTATGGCCCGGGGTGCGTACGTGATTCAGAAAATTACCTGATTTTTTTACGCCGAATAAACTTGTTCAAGATGTGCAGTAAAGAGCCTCATATTATAGAGCCTGCTCAATTTCCAAGGTCTTCAAAATCCAGAAAAAAATACATATGTACTTCCGAAAAATAACAGAATTTTGGATTTTAATTTTTTGGGACAGACTAAACTTATTTACAAAACCAGCCGCAAGCAAGCGGCTCGACTTCGGGCTGCCCCCGCCGTGCGCTCCTCACCCCTCGCCGAAAGCGCGGGACCTGGCTCCCTATGAGAAAATCGTGCAATAGCCGTTTTTACGACCAAATTACAAATATAGATTTTTAAATATGAAAAAGAAGTTTTTAGATTCTGTTCATGATCAGTTTGGGGGTTTCTGGCCGCGTGTATCCGGATCCAAAGAGACCTAAGCTCTAGCTAATTTCGAGTCGTGAAGCTAGCATTTTACTATCGGAAAATCAGAAGAAAAAAGAAAAACCGTCTGGCGAAAGCCAAAATATCGGAATTTCCCCCCTGCCTTCAGCATTGCAAAGCGGTTTTTCCTTTCCTTAAAAACGCCAAGCTTATCTACGCGCTGTTCGTATTTCCTTATGCTACCCGGTTTATCGATTTCCGGCCGGGTGCGTCATCCCTATCTTTTTCGCAACTGTTTTTTGAGCTTGCAGGCTTATCCCTCTGCTATAAACCAATTATCTATATTCGATGGAATTTATCGACTTACCTATCACCTTCCATCGACGGCTTATCGATTTTCTGGGAAATTCCGGCGCGAGGACGCGATTCCGGTACGCGCGTTGTTGCCGATTTCTATGGAAAATTACCGAGGAATCGCCATACGACCGCTTGGAGCATGGCGTCATATTTCTAGCCGATTACATCGGTATGGGGTCATTTGGATCGACATGCTTCTACCTAGACGATCCAACCACCCAAAAACTACTACTATCCGGAGCTACCGCTACAAAAACCGAGTTATACCAGCTGCCAATGACCGGCATCCCACCTGGATTTCGTACCTTACAACTATCAATATCAGCTCACGCAATGAAAGATCCTGACGTTTATTTGGACCTTATCGCAGCTATGAAGCCTCTGCATCAAAAATACCTCCATGTAGACCTTTTGGGAGTGTCTGAGCCGACGCCAAAATTCTTCCAAATCGCCAACACTTGCACCGAATCGATTGCCCTGTTCTGTGACGTCCCCGTCGAACCGTGGATCGGGTTAAAGTGCCCGAAAATCCTGCTCAGAGTCCGACCGGGATCTCGTATATGCCTTCAAAGTTTCATCGACAGCATAGTGACCGAATGGAAGTCTGGCGAGCGGGAAATCGACTATGTCGTGATTCACGGGGTCCCGGCAAAATTCGCAGCGCCGAGGCTTGTCCGGGATGATGGTGCACAGATTTTTGTTGAGTATCGCTATTACCAAAATGTGCTCAGAAAGTATCCCGCATAAATCTATCGATAAATTAGGACTAACCGCCATACGATACAAATATACATTTGGAAACATGCGGCTTGAGATATCGTTAGCCAACAGATTAGGATTATCAAAGTTCGAAATCGAAACTGAGCCTTTTTCGAAATAGAAAAAATCTTAACAAGCGAGAACCACTATTTATATATAGCTTCCAAAAAATTGCATATTAACAAATCACATTAAACCGCAAACAAATTCCAGTTAAACAGAATCGAATTTCCGCTCCGTTAGGATTTGGCAAAACCAATTTTTTGTCGGCGTAGACGTTTTAATGAATCGCAAACATTTTTATATCGTTTCTAGCTATTCCCAAACCTAAAAACCCTACTAGGTTTTTAAAAATTTAACCAGGGTTGAAAAGTCGCTTCGCGACTTTTCAACCCTGGCCCTGTCTGACCCCGTTTTATCCTTCACTTTGCATAATTTTCCTGAATTCAGATGACAAAAAATGAAAAATTACCTGTTCAGCCCCTTTATATAGTCGAATCCCCACTTCCGGTCTACGCTAATTGTTCCTAACAAAGAGGTTTTCACAAAAACTTAGATTTAATGTCGAAAATAGGTGATTTTGTTAAATCTGAGATGCGTGCAGTCATCTCCAGGCCATTACGCATCTAATGACGTATCGTACATACCTTAAAATTCATCCCCTATCGAGATGTCCCCCGGACAGACATCCGGAAGTGGATGCAAAGTGGCACACACACACACACACACACAAACACTATTTTTTTATATATAGTAGGATTGTAGGTCGAAACAAGGATTTTTCAGGAGAAAAACACGAAATTGTCAAATTTTAAAAACACTTTCCAAATTTTTGAAAGTTTATCTGCCCTTACTATAGTCAAACTTACTAAATACCATATACAGGGTGTCCCAAAAAAAAACCCCCCCTACCTAGCGGTCCGCAGTCGATTCCGATTTTTACGATTTAGGTATCTATCGAAAGCTCTCGAAAAGGCGAGAAAACAAGGAGGGTTCATTTCCTTTATTATGCATTTTTATTCGCTAATTTTACGTTCAAAAACCATGAAAACTGCTAATTTGTGCAGGATCTGCATGCTAATTGCAAATTCCTGTTGAAAAAGTACCAGTTTTTTTAGAAAAACCTTAAATATCGATGGAATTAGATTAAATCTTAGAAAACGAGACCCGCTTGTTTTCTCGCCTTTTCGAGAGCTATCGATGGGTAGTTAAATCATAAAAATCGGACTTGACTGCGGACCGCTAGGTAGGGGGGGTTTTTTTTTTTGGGACACCCTGTAGCTACACTTTCAATTCGCTTACTACGCCAACCTTGAACCGCCAGGAGAAATTTATCTATTTACTGCGTCGGCATTTCCAGCCTTGCAAAGGATTTTATTCGAAACGTCTGGTTATATCAATCACAAAGAACATCGTGTATTGAATGAGTTTTACAGGTCTGGAGTACGAGCTTTGCTTGAACGTCGTGCTCGGCCCGGGGTAGAGATCAGGCGATTTGTTCATTCGTGGTGGTTGTGGTCGTCGGGGCGGTAGGAGTGGCTGGATTGGTGGGCGCGTTCGGCGTCGGGTTGGCCGGCGGAGTTGGGGGCGGATCTCGATCGGGGAAGTTCCCTGAAAAACAGATTGAGTTTCAGGTTTTGCTAAAGGCATCGGCTAAGGTCTTGGCCCTGCGAACCCCTCCCCGTTAACTCACCAACACCGGGTATCAAACAACAGAAAACAGACGTTTCTTCTGTTCGAAGTAGATGCACAATTTCCCGCCGCCAATAATCGCGACCGCGCCGGCGACGCTCAAGAAGATCAGCACGTATTGGTAGAACTCGCGGCTGTAAAGGACGTAGGGTATAAAACGTCAAATTCTGGCTAGCAGTATAAAGCATAAACCGAAAGGTATAGGCGAAAAAGAAACATTAGCCCCGCTAACGATCAAGTACCCGAAGACCCCGAAAGATCGCCGATTACGACCAAAAACTGCGCAAAAAAATTTTCACGGTTTTTCGTGATTTTTTTTGCACTCAAAACATAGCTTAATTATTAAAAAGTTGATTACGTTTACATTGCCTTTCGAAAAAAGTTTTCCCCTCGATAATGCAAATGAAA